CCCCCGAGGGCCCTGCCGGCTCAGCATTTCCCTCCCCTTCCACAGGAAGGCACCAAGTCTCAGAGAAGCACCGAGAGCTGTTCCGGGCCACACGCGGACAACCCGGACTCCTCCGACCAAGTGGTCACTGCCTCCCAAGTCTTCCGGAGGTGCTCCCAGGAGAAGCCACGCAGGGCAAAGTGGGGTCAACCCGCAGACCAGACCATATGCCCAGAGAGCACAGGTGGGGTGGCCTGCACGGGGTGGGGGTGGGGGTGGGGTGGGGGAGGGGGAGGGGGGCCCACCCCGAGACCTCACCCACCCCAGCAGGTGGCCCACTCACCGGATGGTCTCGATGATTTCGTGAGCAGCATCGTGGTGTTTGTCCTGAAAGACAAAGGGACAGGTTTTACACCCTCCGGTGGTACAGGGTGTGGGGACCAGGCAGGGCCTACCAGCCAGTTCCCGCCCCTGGCCCGAGCTGGACCTGTGGCACTCCCTCCCAGGCGGGCAGGGAGGAGGGACCCGGGGTGACGTCGATGCCCCGACCCTTCTCTCCCCACCTCGCACCCCCACCTCTGCTGACTCTTCACCCACAGCCCCCATGTGCTCCTACAGCCCGGAAGCCGCGGGCCTGGCTTTGAGCTACTGAACATCTCCAGGCCTCTGTTTCCCCATCTGTAAAATGGGGAAACACGAGTACCACAACCACGGGGAAAGCTCATGTGGCGGTCCTCCCGCCAGAACGCAGACACCTCCCAACCCCACAGTTGATCACGCCAGGTCCCCACAATGCCTGTCACACGGGGCGGGGCGGCGGGGGGCTCGCTGTTGCTCCTTCCTCACAGAGGAGGCCAAGGGCTCGCTCCAGGCCTCTCACCGGGGTCCGGACAGCCCTGACCCCAGGACTTGAAAAAAAGCAGGACCAGATGCGCCGAGTGTCCTTTCTCTGGCACGCTGCTTCTCTGATGCGAGCCCCGCGCCTGCTGCGGCACAGAGAAGGCGTGCGCGGTGCCGAGAGGTCAGGTTCGGAGCCGCGAACAGCTGCTGTGCGGCAGTGACCGCGCCTCTCGGGCCAGGCTTCACAACAGACCCTGGGGGTGAGGGGGGTGGGCGGGGCGCGGGTCCTAGCGCAGAGCCTCCGGTCCCGTCCCGCACTCCGTGATGGTCGAAACAACCCCAAGGACCTCGGGCCCTAACCTCAGTTTCGTAGCCACGGCTCTCTGCCTGAAGGGGGCTCGCCCGCTCCACGCGCACGGCCCAGTGGCTGGGGTACTTTCAGAATCGTGCGACCAAAGCGCTGATGCAGAACTCTTCTCACCCCAAACAGCTACCCCGTCCCCACTATCTGCCACGGCCCGTCCTCCCGGCAACCACTGACCCACTTTCTGTCTCTCAGGATGTGCCTGTTTCTGGACGTTTCACGTGAATGGAATCACACACCGTGTGGCCTTTTGCGCTAAGCCCTACTTTTTCTTTAAGGTAAAAGAACCAAGCTCGCAGCGTCCTCAATGCTATCCTCCAACGGACGAAGGATCAAATGACAAATATTAATTGCCTGCGTGTAGCGGGGTGCAAGATGGGTCACGGGCCGTCCGGCACGGGAGACCCCACGCAGGCCAGGGGTCCCCACTGAGGGGAGCCTGACCAGCAGCATGGGTGCCACCCGCTGAGTCGGAAACTCGGGGTGGGGACCGCTAACGGGAACCAGCGGCCCGGACACCTCGTGGTGAGTGTCAGAAGACATCTGGGGGGCAGCTCCGCTGGGCGCGAGAGGTCACACCGGTCTCACGGGAACCACGGGAACTGGCAGCAAGGAGAGTGGCCCCGCGGGGACCGACGGCCCAAGGCCCAGCGCCACACGCCTCCGTGTTCTGGGGAGGGCACGTGGAGCCGGCAGAAAGCCCACACCTCGGACACAGGAGCCCCACGCCCACCTGAGCCACCCTCTCTGGGCACCCGCGGGCGGGAACACAGCCCAGCGGCCGGATTCCCCAGGAGGCTGTGCAGGATGAGGGGCCGGTGACACAAGGAATCGCGGCAGCTCGTCTGCCGTCTCAGCCTCGACTGCACACCTCCCGGCTCGACGGACACAGAGCTCCTCTTGGCTGAGCACGGAGGAACCTACCCTTCTACCTTCGGGGTCCCCACAAACTGCTCGCAGGCATTTCCCTGTTGTTTGGTGACACAGCGTCGCAAACAAGGGGGAAGCCACGATTCCTGCTGCCACAACCACGCAGCGCCCGGGCCCATCGCTGAGCCGCGTGTCCGCTCAGCCCTGGGCCCTCTAGGTCCACACCCCCCATCCGGACGCTAGAGAGGCGAAAGGTCTGATGGCCACAGCAGCGGGAGGCGTCCACGAAGCTCGGGAGAGTAAATGGCAATGCAGGGGAGTAGGTGACACATCCAATGAGCTCAGATGGCACCAAGCCCTCTCCACCCGGGGCTGCCATTGCTCCCAAGTACCAGTCCATCCTGCAGATGGGGGCACAGGCTTCGGTGATGAGTGAGAGGGCCAATCAGAGTCCCTGCCGGGCGGCGACACACCCACCGCTACAATGACCTCGTAAACCTCCGGGGGAGGAAAAACAGGTGGGGTACATTTCATCCAAATGAAACGATTACACTTAAGGACATCAAGGAAGTGGAAAGACAAACCACAGAAAGAGAGAAAAACTTTGCAAACCATCCATCTGGAGAAGGACCTTATCTCTCACGGGCACACCTCGCTTTGCCGCCCTGTGCAGGCACGGCGTTCTCACAAACCGAAGGCAGCGCGGACCCCGTGATGAGCGCGCCCCTCGGCACCCTTTCTCCAACTTGCTCACGCGGAGTCCGTGGCACGTCTTGGCCACTCTCGCAATCCTCCAAACTTCATCACTGTGGTATTTGCCGCGGAGATCAGCGGTCAGTCTCACCGAAAGCTCAGGCGATGGTGAGCGTTTTTGCAAATCGTTTGTCCTTTAAGGTACGCACGCTGCCTTTTCTTCAGACGTCATCCCGCTGCACACTCGGTGGGCCACGGTGTGGCCTAAACCTAACTTGTATGCGCACAGGAAATCAATCTGCGTGAGTCGTTTTATGGACACGCTCACTTTACTCTGGGGGCCCGGGACCAAACCCACAGTACCCCTGACGTGTGCCTGTGTGTACAGAGAACTCAGGAGAGCTCAAAACAAAATGACAAATGAAGCCACGAAAACATATTGACACCGACACGGTTACAGAGAAAATGCTCCAGTGGCCAGACGGTGGCCAGACGAGGCTAACGAGGCCACGAAAAGATGCTCTGCCAGCTGAGCCAGGATGGGACCCGAATCAAAACCACGAGGACAGCTAGAATGGGAGTGACAGGCCTGAGTGTTGGGGAGGAGGAGTAGGAACCTTCACACCTGGCTGGTGGGAATGTCACGTGGAGCAGCCACTCTGGAAAGCGGCCCAGCAGCTCCTGTGATGTTAGAACATCCACGGGACCCAGCGACTCCACCCCCAAGTATACGGACGCCCAAAACAACCAGCACGCGTCCAAACACCTGTGTGCAGGGGCCTGGAAGGGTTGGGAGGGTGATGGCTGATGGGGATGGAGCTTCTTTTGGGGTAATGGAAAGTTCTGGAATTCACAGTAGCGATGGTTGCACAAGTCTGTGAATATGACAGTCTACACGGGTCAGTTGTACGGTATGCGAATTACACCTCAAAAGAGCTGTTAACAGCAAAAACATTCACAGAAGAAATGCTCCCCACCATTAAAAGCACCCCCCGCCCCCGACCTCAGTAGGAAAACGCAGAGTTCGTAAGATTCTCACGCGACGATTCTGCCCTGTTGCCGCTCAGTAACGTTTAACGAAACCCAGACACACAGTCTTGGCAAGAGCTCACCGGACTCCTGCACGGACTGACCCTGAAAAGCGGAGAAAACGCCATACTGTATCGCAAGGTCTACGAGGGCAGTTAGCCTAGAACTTTCCACCAATTCTCTCTCGGATCACACTCTAGGAAAGCCAGCTAGCTGCTAGGTCACAAGCAGCCCCACAGAGAGGCCCATGTGGGGAGGAGCTGAGCCCTCCCGCCAACGGAGGGTGTCGGCATGAAGAGCTCCTCCCACCTGGTCCAGCGTTCAGACGAGGCGGCCCTGGTGGGTCTGTGTCGACCACACCATGGTGTCTCGTGGGAGACGCTGAGCTAGAGCCACGCAGCTAAGTTGCTCCCGGACTCCTGACCCACAGAAATCATGACCTAGTAGACTGTGTTGCTTCCAGCTGCTAAATCTGGGGTAATCTGTTATGCAGCCATAGCTAACTGATACAGACCTGGCGTTAAGGCTAACAAACCTGCCTGGGAGCACACTGCCCAGGAGAAAAACCCTAGAAATGCCCCTCACCACAGGGCCTGATTCAAGTCCTCACCACAAAGTCACGAAACGAGCTGCACACCCTTGCGAAGCCCCTGGGTGCCAGGCGGACGCGGGCACAGAGCAGCCCGAGCAGCTGCGGCGCGGTGGCACATGCGGGTGCTGGGCTCACATCACACCCCGGCCTCTGTCCTCACAGGAACCCGCCACAGCCTGCCAGCTGACTTGTCTCACACCAAATCCTGCACACGTGGGGAGGAGCCTGGAATGTGGGCTTGTCTTGTTTGTGAGAAGAGGAAATCCAGCAGAAAAAAAAGGAGCGCCTGGGGGGCCCAGTCAGTCGAGCGTCCAACTTGGGCTCAGGTCAAGATCTCACGGTTCATGGGTTCGAGCCCCGCGTCGGGCTCTGTGCTGACAGCTCAGACCCTGGAGCTGCTTCGGATTCTGCATCTCCCTCTCTCTCTGCCCCTCCCCTGCTTGTGCTCTCTGTGTCTCGATAACAAATAAACATTAAAAAAATTTTTTTGGGGGGCGCCTGGGTGGCGCAGTCGGTTAAGCGTCCGACTTCAGCCAGGTCACGATCTCACAGTCCGTGAGTTCGAGCCCCGCGTCAGGCTCTGGGCTGATGGCTCAGAGCCTGGACCCTGTTTCCGAGTCTGTGTCTCCCTCTCTCTCTGCCCCTCCCCCGTTCATGCTCTGTCTCTCTCTGTCCCAAAAATAAATAAACGTGGAAAAAAAAAAATTAAAAAAAAAAAAATTTTTTTTTAAGCAGAAAAAAGGAAGGAAAAAAGTTGACAACTATGGCTCCAAAGATCGCAGAATGACCCTTTCAGGGACTGGCCAGCCTCCACTGGCAGCTGTGAGCTGTGTCATTTAAGAAGCACCGATCGCCATAAATGATTCAGAAAATCCAACTTCTTGGACGTGGCCTCCTCCTACTCCTCGGGCCTTCAGGGAAGACGCCAGACGCCGACCGGGAAGGGGGGGGACTAAGAACAGCTCTGAGGAAGCCTGGATTCAGGAGAGGCCCTTGTCTTGTTACCCAGGGACAGCCCTCCCCCATCCTCCTCCTCCGTCCCAGGAGCCCCAGAATCCCAGGTCTGTGCCCCAGGCCCGGTCTCCCTGTAGGGACCCCCAGCCTGACGCTGGCCCACGGCAGGAACGTCAGCTTGCTGCGGCAGGGACTGACCCGCTCTCTCATCACTAAGCGCATCTGGGCGCCCAAATGAAGCAACCAGAGACGTTTTTCCACGTAACACCTGTCTGGCGA